TATGATATTGCCCCCATAATCCCCCTAAATAAAACAAATTTTATCCATATTCTTTTCTAAAAAGGTAAAAATGTATTACATGGGATGTGTAAACATGATTTTCCCCATGTGGGAAAATAATTATATGCATGTTCTAATCAGAAATAGGTCAGCTATAGTCTTTGGCATATGTATCCACAATAATGCACCCATAATCCCCATGCAGAAAAATAACTATACCCATAATTCTTTCAGAAATAAGTCAAATATGGCTCTTTGGTATGTGTATTCACAAAACTCCCCCCCATAATCACCATGTTGCAAAATAACTATTCTCATATTATTATCAGAAACAAGTGAAATGTGTTGCTAAGCATTTTTTAGCCTGATATTCCACCCATAATCCCCATGTAGAAAAATAGCTGTTCTCAGATTCTTATCAGAAAGTGGTCAAGTGTGTTCCTAGGCATGTTTATTTATGATATTCTACCCATAGTCCCCATACAGAAAAATAAGTATACCCATATCCTTAGGAGAAAAAGGTCAAATATGGTCCATGGCATGCGTATCTGCAATCATACACCCATATCCCTCATGTAGAAAAATAACTATTCTCATATCAGAAACCGGTCAAATATGTTCCTAGGCATGTTTTAACCATGATATTCCACCCATACTGATCATGTAGAAAAATAAATATTCTCATATTTTATCAGAGAGAGGTCAAATGTGTTCCTAGACATGTTAAAAAACAATATTCCACCCATACTCCCCATGTACAAAAATAACTATTGACAGGTCAAATGTAATCCTAGGCATATTTTAACCATGATATTCCTCCCATAATCCCAATGTAGAAAAATAATTATGCGCATAATCTTTTCAGAAATAGGTCAAATACGGTTCTTGCCATGTGTATCCACAATACACCCATAATCCTATGTAGAAAAATAACTATTCTTGTATTTTTTTTATCAGAAAGGGGTCAAATGTGTTCCTAGGCATATTAAAAAAACAATATTCCACCCATAATCCCGATGTAGAAAAATAGATATTCTTATCAGAAAGGGGTCAAATGGGTTCCTCGGCATTTTTAACCATGATATTACACCCATACTATCCCTTTTTATAGAAAAATAACTATACCCATATTCTTAGGAGAAACGTCAAATATGGTCCTTGGCATGTGTATCTCCAAACATCCACCAATAATCCCCATGTAGTAAAATAGCTATTCTCATATTCTTATCACAAAGGGGTCAAATGGGTTCCTAGGCTTGTTCAACCATGATATTGAACCCCTAATACACATGTAGAAACATAACTATTCATATTATTATTATTAATATCATATTATCAGAAAGGGGTCACATTTTTTTCCTAGGCATGTTTGACCATGATATTCCACCTATAATCCCCATATAGAAAAATAACTATACCTTTTTAATTATTTCAGAAATAGGTCAAATATGGTCCTTGGCATGTGTATTCACAATAATCCATCCATCCATCCATAATCCCCATGTAGAAAAATTATTATATACATTTGCTTATCTGAAATAGGTTAGGAGTTACATTAATATCCCCCCCCCCATACTCCCAATATATAAAAGTAATTGTACCCAATTTTCTAAAAAGGTGAAATTAAATTTGTATGTGATGTGTAACCATTATATTCCAGCCATAATCCCCATGCAGATCAATATTAACCACATTGTTATCAGAAATGCATTAATTTTTTTTCTTTGGCATCTGTTATTTTTAATCTTCATTTTTCAAACATCATTTTCCAGGTTCCTAATAAAACAGTTCAAAATGTAGTGCTTTACATATACATGTATTGTATGAAATCAGTAAATCTATTCCTACTAATATATTGAGTAATGTTTCCAGTTTTTCTGTATAATTTACTATGATGCCATTTTACAGCTGCACATACTGTATATCAGTAAGTGAAGAGTTAAATATTAGCCACTACTACTCGCAACATAGTATCAAGCACTGCAGAAAAGAAAAACATTTTGTGTAACAACAAAATCATTACCATATATGTGTGTAAAAATATAGTGACACCTAATGAGAGTGTTGAGCATTGCAGCCAATAATCCAATCATCCCAATATGCAGTTTACTACATCCCCTCAAGCTGGCCATGTTTATTTCCTTTGTATGTAGGCAATTAGACCACATTTTAAAAACATATTGAAAATCATAACGTCTCTGATTTGGTAGAAATGAGTACCGCAGTCACAATCAGTGAGTTGTTTTCCAGCAAAGGATCGGTGCTTTTCATCTTTTATCCCACCCAGAAATACAACCCAAAGACCCCAAAAGAGATGTTGCATTTGTTAAAAAAACAGCAAATGATACTAATGCCAGAAGTGGCCACTAATCCTGGTCTTTGCATGAATAAAGCCATTGACGTATACCAACTTATTTTTTTTTTTTCCAATGTTTTTCCCCTGGTGTTTAAAAATATTACACTTTGCCCCTAAATCATCCCATAGAATATGTACTCCCATCCCACTGTCTTTCTGCCTATTTTAACCCCTTGCCAAAACTGTGGGGGAGGGGTCTATTTTTCTAAATGGCGTACAATGCCAAAAACAAAAAATTACATAATTACAAATAGTCATTTTGGGATGTAATTTCTGGGATCCTGTAACATCTGAGCCATTTTAACTACAGTAGGGAGTTAACAAAAAAAAACTCACATGGCAGGTTTCAGCCATTAAAAGCCAGAATGCACTGTGTAGATTCTGAGCCCTGCCATTTTCCCCACCAAGTAACTAAAAAAAAATACACCGCTCAAAAAAAAAAAAATTAAAGGAACACTTTTTAATCAGAATATAGCATCATAGTTAGTCTGGCTGAAAAAAAGACAAAAATCCATCCAGTTCAACCATTAAAAAAAAAAAAAAGTTATAATCCTTTACCCACAGTTGATACAGAGGAAGACAAAAAAACCAGCAATGCATGTTCCAATTTGCTCCTGCAGGAGAAAACTTTCCTTCCTGATCCCCCGAGAGGCAATCGGATATTCCTTGGATCAAATTTACCTATAAATGTTAGTATCCAGTTATATTCTGGTATCTAAGAAAGAATCCAGGCCTTTTCTGAAGCAATCCACTGAGATGGCAGGAACCAACTCTTGAGAGAGTCTATTCCATATTTTCACAGCTCTCACTGTGAAGAAACATTTCCGTGTTTTGGAGATTTAAATTTCTTTTCCTCCAGAAGTAAGGAGTGCCCCCCTTGTCCTCTGTGATGACCTCAGGATAAATAGTTCTACACTGAGTTCACTATATGAATCACTGATGTATTTATACATGTTAATCATATCCCCCTTAATCTCCTCTTCTCAAGAGAGAATAAATTCAGTTCCTCTAATCTTTCCTTATAGCTGATCTACTCCATGCCTCTTATCAGTTTAGTTGCCCTTCTCTGTACTTTCTCCAGTTCCCCAATGTTCTTTTTGTGAATTGGTGCCCAAACCGGAACTGCTTATTCCATATGAGGTCTTACTAATGATTTATACAGGGGTAATACAATATCTCTCTCTCTGGAGTCTATACCTCTTTTAATACAAGAGAGGATTTTGCTCGCTTTAGAAACCGCAGCTTGGCATTGCATGCCATTAAGCTTGTCATCTACCAGAATTCCCAGATCCTTCTCCACCATTGATTCCCCCAGTTGTACTCCCCCTAGTATGTATGATACATGCATATTCTTAGCCCTCAAGTACATAACCTTACATTTATCAACATTAAACCTCATTTGCCACAAAGTTGCCTAATTAAACAATGCATTGAGGTCGGCATGTAAGTTGGAGACATCCTGTAAGATCGTTCTTCTACTGCACAGCTTGGTGTCATCTGCAAAGACTGAAATGGGATTTTTAATCCCAGACCCTATATTGTTTATAAATATATTAAAAAGTAAGGGTCCCAACACTGAACCTTGGGGTAAACCATTGACAACCCTAGACCATGCAGAGTGTGAATCATTAACCACTACTCTCTGAATACGATCTTTTAGCCAGTTTTCTATCCATTTACATACAGATTTTTCCAAGCCCGTAGACTTTACCTTACACATTATCCGTGTGTGGGGAACTGCGTCAAACGCTTTTGCAAAATCCAAGTATACCACATCCACCGCCACCCCTCTGTCCAAGGTTTTGTTCACCTCCTCATAAAGAGAAATCAGATTTGTTTGACAACGTCTGTCTTTCATGAATCCATCTCTGTTGAGGACATGTGCGTTCTGGTGTTTTAATGCATTTTGCAGCGTTCCAGATGCGTTCCATACAGAAAAAATGCAACACGTTCTACTTTTGTTGGCTGCACTGGAACGCACTGCACTGGCCTGAAGTAGAGACATGGGAGTCCATGTTAGCCTAGGATCACATATATGCGGGCTGCGGTTTGCGTGGTCATGGTAGCCCATTCATTTGAAAGAGCTGTCGTGTCTCATGAAATGCAGGGAAAAGTCCCTGCACTATTTTTGAAAGCGCAGCCTGCACAGGGACAGAGTAGTTCTCAGTGCGGGTGGCGTGCCAGTAGGATTAATGGCACCTGCCCACACTCCTCCTGCATTTTACTGTGCGGGTGGTTGCAGATCTCACAGTTGCAACCATCTGCACAGGTGTGAACCTAGCCTTAAACACTGTCCATACATTTTTGATGCAGAATAAAAATGCCCTTAGGCTAGGTTCACATTATTGCAGCTCTGCTAGCCACATTTGCGTGGTTACGGCAGCTCATTAATTTAAATTGGGCTGCTGTGCTGTAGCAGGCAGATTGCATGGGGCTTTTGCACAATGCGATTTATCCACTGCTCCCTTTTTTAGATGCATGGGAGTGCCATTAACCGCTAGCCTACAGGGCACTTATACCCCCTTCCTGCCCAGGCCAATTTCCAGCTTTCAGCGCTGTTGCACTTTGAATGACAATTGCGCAGTCAAACAACACTGTACCCATATGAAATTTTTATAATTTTTTTTGTGACAGAGCTTTCTTTTGGTGGTTTTGAAAAAAAAAAAAGTTTTTTCTTAGTTTTTGTTATAAAATTTTGTAAATAAGTGATTTTTCTCCTTCACTGATGTGCGCTAATGAGGCTGCAGTGATGGGCACTGATAGGCTACACTGATAGGTGGCACTGATGAGACACTAGTAGGTGGCACTGCTGGGCATTGACAGGCATCACTGATGGGCACTGAAAGGCAGCACTGATCCCTTCAGACGAAGTCCGGAAGTGACGAAACGCGTTAGGGGTGTGACGTTGAGATGCACGTACGCAGACCGGAAGTGTCGCCGCGGCCATTTTGTTGGTTGTTCACACATGGCTTACTGCATTTGTTTGGTAGAACTCGCATAGGAGCCATGTTTGGAGCTGGAAATGTGGAATTTTAATGTAAGTGGCTGTTAAAATCTTTCCCTATACCTTGAATATGAGTCTTGAGACCCTTCTTGTCTTTTGAGGACCTTGGAAAATATCTTTGGAGAGGAAATATAAGATCTCTGATTGAATGCTGATTATATATATACAGAGGGTAATAGTATGTAATACTATTGGTGTTGGTGGATGCACAGTGTTGCAGTGTTCACGGAGTGGTCACAGTTAATTTAAATGTGCACGATATAATTCAAAAATAGTTTTTGCACAATTTTTAAGTTGTGTTTCTGCACAGAGTGAATATATATTGTTATATAAAGGTAATGCACTAGAGCATCTATTTTTTATTTCTCTTTGAGGTATCACGGGATGAAATAGGATTCCTTCCTATTGGATGATAAAGTTTGGAGATTTGGGACTTTTTTTATTTGGACACTGTTTTTTCATTGGACTTTTTTTCTGTTTTTGGACAATTTGTTATATTTTTTTTTTTTTTTGTTTTTGATTATATATGACATTGCAAGGTTTAATTTGAATATCATTATTTATTTTATCACAAAAAGGTTATAATATATGATACCATATATGTGTAACTTTTCTATAAACAAATAAAACAAATCAAACCAAAATATAAAAAATAATGTCCAAAAGTCCCACCGTGTCCAAAAAACAAAAATACAAATAAAAATACAAATAAAAATAAAACAAAAAAAGTCCCACAAAAAAATAATCCTCACAAGTGTAAACTCAAAACACTTAAACTTTTTCTTCTTCTTGCATCACCACAAACCTTCTTAATACCCGCAGATCCTGATATTCATGCACCCTATAGAAGAATCAGCAGGGCAGATTAACCACTCAGGGTTACAATCTCCTCTCATTGATTTTCTCCAACGGTTAGGGTCACCTCCTCCACTTCCCTCCAGAAAACCAGTCAAAATAAAAAGGTATTCTTCTTTATTAATAACTCACATAACATTCCGTGGTAACAGCTCCTCACATAATATTCCGTGGTAACAGCTCCTCCTCACAAGCAGTGTGTACATGGACAGGTTCAGGGGAACATAAACCGCATGTTCCCACTTCCAAGATGGCCGCGATCGCACTTCCGGTCAACGTCGATGCGTATGACGTCATAGGGACACGTGACGTCATACGCATCGACGTTGACCGGAAGTGCGATCGCGGCCATCTTGGAAGTGGGAACATGCGGTTTATGTTCCCCTGAACCTGTCCATGTACACACTGCTTGTGAGGAGGAGCTGTTACCACGGAATATTATGTGAGGAGCTGTTACCACGGAATGTTATGTGAGTTATTAATAAAGAAGAATACCTTTTTATTTTGACTGGTTTTCTGGAGGGAAGTGGAGGAGGTGACCCTAACCGTTGGAGAAAATCAATGAGAGGAGATTGTAACCCTGAGTGGTTAATCTGCCCTGCTGATTCTTCTATAGGGTGCATGAATATCAGGATCTGCGGGTATTAAGAAGGTTTGTGGTGATGCAAGAAGAAGAAAAAGTTTAAGTGTTTTGAGTTTACACTTGTGAGGATTATTTTTTTTGTGGGACTTTTTTTGTTTTATTTTTATTTGTATTTTTATTTGTATTTTTGTTTTTTGGACACGGTGGGACTTTTGGACATTATTTTTTATATTTTGGTTTGATTTGTTTTATTTGTTTATAGAAAAGTTACACATATATGGTTTCACTGGCCTTCAAGGGGAAGGTATACCACTTTTCTGGGTTATTTTAGTTTTAAGTGTTGTGATATTTAAGTATAATATATGATACATGGCACTGTTAGGCGGCCCTGACTGGCACTGTTAGGTGGCACTGACTGGCACTGTTAGGCGGCACTGACGCGCACTGATAGGCGACACTGACTGGCACTGATGGGTGACACGGAAAGGCAGCTCAGATGGGCACTGATATGTGGCATTGATGTGCACTGGTAGGCACTGATATGTGGCACTGGCACGAGGCACTGATGAGCACTGACATAAGGCACTGATGGACTTTGACAGGTGGCACTGATGGGGCTACACTGATCATCAGTGCCCTGATGATCAGTGTACATGTCCCCTCTGCGGAAAGCCGATTACCGTCTCTCCTCTCCTCTCGAGCTGTCAACGTGACAGCTCGAGAGGAGAGAAATGCCGATAACCGACATTTCCCTGTTTACATGTGATCAGCTGTGATTGGACACAGCTGATCACATGACCGAGCCGACATCTTCGGCTCTTTCCGTGATCGGTGATCCTCTGTGTCCGAGGGACATAGCGCACCACCGATCGCCGCGCTGCGTGCTCCCTGAGCCGCGCATGCGCAGTGAGAATGGGAGGACATCATATGACGTCCTCCCAGAACGAGCGAACCACCTTGCGCCCGTCAGATTACTATATGGCGAGCGGGAGGTGGTTAAGAACAAATGGTAGTACCGTGTGTCTGTACAGAACAGCGTACTTTGGCTGTGGGTGGTTGTGGGTGCAGGTCCCACAACCACCCGCATAAGGCTAGGTTTACACTTATGCATGTGTTTATGGGTGCAATCCCCACACCTGCAGCCAAAATAGGCAGCACATTGGCTAAATGGTTAGCACTTCCGCACCAGGGTCGTTGGTTCGAATCCGAACCACGGCACCACCTGCCTGGAGTGTGCATGTTCTCCCATGGGTTTCCTCCAGATACTCCGGTTTCCTCCAACACTCCAAAGACATGCTGGTAGGTTAATTGGCTCCTGTCTAAATTGGCGCTAGTATGTGTATGTATGAATGTGAGTTAGGGACCTTAGATTGTACGGCCCTGCATACTAGCACATTATGAAGGACTTACCGTGAAATGAAGCCTTCCAGCGGCACGCTGTCATGGCTCACTGGGGCATCCATCTTCACCCCGGGTCTTCTTTCTGGGTTTGCGAGCTCTGACCAAGCCACAATGACGTCGCGTGGGAGTCCCAGGCCACGGCACAGTGCTCTGAAGGAACGGCACAGTTATGCTGTTCCTTCAGAGCTCATGTGCAGGAATATCAAATCGGGCTTATATCTCCTAAACAGTTCAGTTTGGGAGATATTTATTTTACCTACAGATAAGCTTAAATTATTAACTGCTTTAGCACCGCCCCATAGCAGAAATACTACTTCAGGGTGGCAGCGGTGCGCAAAATCACGTGTATATATACATGATTTTGCCTTTCTGGGTAGGGGGAGCGCTTGCCACCATTCGCAATTGCAGCTGTCAATCACTGGCTACTGGCTGGTGATTGCTGATGATCTCCAACGGGTGGGGGGAGAATTGTTAGCCATGCAAAGCAGTGTGCTTACAGTGAAGCACACACACAGGACACAATGTAAAATGGCACACAGCACATGGTTAACCCTTTGATCACACCAGATGTTAACCTCTTCCTGCCCAGTGCCATTACTATTTATTTATTAGCACTGATCACTGTGTTGGTGACGCTGGGGATGTCAGAGACACCAAGTCAGTTCCCCCCCAGTGTCAGAATGTCCGCCGCAGTCCTGCTATAAGTCACTGATCACCGCCATTACTAGTAAAAATTAAAAAAAAAAAAAAAAAAAGCCCAGTATATATACTGCCATCTGTAAATGCTTTAACTTTCACGTAAACCAATTAATTTACACGTATTGGGATTTTTTTTTTTTAGAAAAGACATGTTGCAGAATACATTTTGGCTGAAATTTATGACGAAATCTGATTTTTTAAAATTCTTCTTACTGGACATATTTAATAGCAAAAAGTCAAAAATATTTTGTCTTAAAATTGTTGGTCTTTTTCTTTTAATAGCACAAAAAATAAAAGACGTACAAGCGATCAAATACCACAGAAAGAAAGCTCTATGCCTGGGGGGAAAAAACGTAAATTTAATTTGTGTGCAGCGTTGCATGACCGCGCAATTGTCAGTTCGGTCAGGAGGGGGGGTAAATCCTCTGGAGGGCGACTGGTTAAAGAAGAGCTTATAGACAACAAGGGGAAATCTAAAAAACGTATTCCTGCGCCAAACATTCAAAATATCAATCTAAGCTGCTGCTGTGCAAATTGTGAAAAACACAAACAATATAAATATGAATAAACAGTGCAAAATTAGATTCTTAATCACTCATAAAATTAATAAAATATGTGCATAAATTAATAGTGCTTATCCTCACTCATAAATAAAATAAACCACCCAAAAGTCCATGTGTTAAAAAATTTATATAAATGTGTAAACTTCTTTTCTTCCAAATTTCTTTAGATGTAAAAAAGGAACTTCCACTTTCCACCCGTGCACAAACCAACATCAAATACACTCACCAGAACTTGGTGAGTAAAAAACCTTTAAGGAATTTTAGGGATCCTAAACCCTCCTTGATAACGCCCGATGGGAGGGGCGAAACGCGTTGACGCATTTCCGGTCCACACCCCGTACGTCTGACGTCATTTCCGGTGAGTGGAACGCACGCTGAGCGGTGCGTTCCAGCGGCCATCTTGGTTAATTGTGTTGGTCTATGAGGAGTCCTGGCTTTGTTCCACTGTGGATGTGAGATTCCTGGAAGAAAGAGGCTGTAGATTTGCTGAATTGAAGCCTACTATATTTAATAAACATGCCTTTATCAAGTGATTAACATGTGAGTGGCCTTAATCTTTGTTTTAAAAGGTTACTATTGTGTGACAATATTATACTATGTGAGTTTTTTCTTCTGGTTGAACGGTGGAGACTATTCGGATGGTGAAGATTTCCTCTAGTGTGGCACCAAGGAGGGTTTAGGATCCCTAAAATTCCTTAAAGGTTTTTTACTCACCAAGTTCTGGTGAGTGTATTTGATGTTGGTTTGTGCACGGGTGGAAGGTGGAAGTTCCTTTTTTACATCTAAAGAAATTTGGAAGAAAAGAAGTTTACACATTTATATAAATTTTTTAACACATGGACTTTTGGGTGGTTTATTTTATTTATTTATGAGTGAGGATAAGCACTATTAATTTATGCACGTATTTTATTAATTTTATGAGTGATTAAGAATCTAATTTTGCGCTGTTTATTCATATTTAACAAGGGGAAATCGCATGTGAATGGGCACCATGGGGAAATCGCATGTGAATGGGCACCATGGGGAAATCGCATGTGAATGGGCACCATGGGGAAATCGCATGTGAATGGGCACCACGGGGAAATTACATGTGAATGGGCACCACGGGGAAATCCAATGCACACAGGCACCACGGGGAAATCGCATGTGAATGGGCACCATGGGGAATTTCAGGTGAATGGGCACCACAGGCAAATCGCAGGTGAACAAGCACCACGGGGAAATCACATGCGAACGGGCATCTCGGGGAAATCGCATGCAAACGGGCAGCTCGGGGAAATTGCATGCAAACGGGCAGCTCAGGGAAATCGCATGTGATTGTCCAGCTGCTGTGTTTTAAAAATGTTTTTTCCTTTAGTTATACTTTATTAATTAAATCTATTTTGTTTTGCAACAGGTGGTCTTAGCCTGTAAAGGCCGAGCCGCCCGCATTCCTCTAGTTCTCTCCTCTCAGGTTTGTATCTAGTGATAAGACCACTTCTTGCACAATGTTACCAAGGAAATGTGAATCATACACGGAAGTCTCTCCACCCAGCCAGCCAACCAGGAGGAGGAGGAGACGGAGAGCCCAGCTAAAGGGAGACCGGAGCTGCTTTCTTATAGCCAAGGAAAGGAACGGACCAATCAGCTGCTAGTGACAGCAGAAAGGCGGGGCGTACATAATGAGTGTGTGCACTGGTCTTTTAGCATTTCCCTGAATAGCAGCTGAAGGTGTGGAGGGAGGACGGTGTAAAGGACGGAGTTGTCTGTAGCTGACTGACAAGCACCTGCTAAAAGGTAAGTTAACAGGTGTGAGGTGAGGAGCTGTGTGAGCGCCGTGTGTGTGTTTGGTGACCCGGCCGGCACAGCTGTACCAGGCACTGCCCTTTCCTTGAGACACACCTAGTGTGTTTCTTAGTACAGCCACTGGGCTATCCTGGTATTCTTGCCTACGCACATTGAAGTGGAGTTTATCTATTCTAACCAAAAAAAAAATAAAGCAGCTACAAAAACTGTAACTGCTGACTTTTAAAAAAAACAGCCACTAACTTGCCCCACAATCCAGCTGTAAACTCACCGCAGCCGGGTTCACCAGCCACCCTCGGCATCTTCAGTGTGAGCACCCAGCTGTGACAGCTTGCGGCTTCCCAGCCGGGTGGCCCACTGCGCATGCGTGGGTAGCGCTGCACATTGTGAATGGATGGTCCTGCAGGCTTCTGGGACCTGTCACGTGTCCTGGGAGAGGGGGGAGGAGAGCTTCTGCTCGGATCGCCTAGGTCAGTGATGGCAAACCCGTGGCACGCGTGCCACAGCCGGTACGCCGAGCCTTATCTGTGGGCACGTCAGGAGAATACCGTATTTTTCGCTCCATAAGACGCACTTTTTTCCCCAAAAAAGGGGGGAAAATGTCAGTGCGTCTTATGGAGCGAACATAGAGCGGCCGGTCCGGTATTTCCACCGCCGCCGTGTCTGAATACCGGGCCGGCCGCTCAGCTCTGCAGTGGGACCGTACCTGTCCCTCTATCCAGCGGCGCGCTGTCTTCCCGGCTTCTGTAGTGTGCGTGACAGCCAGGTCCCAAGTGCGCATGCGCAAGAAGCAGTGCTCTTTGTGAATGGTAAGGCGGTACCTGGGACACATGACAGATCCCAGAAGCCGCCGGACCAATCACAAAGCGCAGCGCTTCTCGACGAGCGCCCACACTACAGAAGCCGGGAAGACAGCGCGCGGCTGGATAAAGGAACAGGTAAGATAAAAAAAAAAAAACTCTGCGGAAGTAAGAGCGGGTACCTGTCAAATTCAGGTACCCGCTCCCCCTCCCTCCCCAAAGGTCAGCAGTCATCTGTACTGTCAGCAGTCATCTGTACTGTCCGCAGTCTCTGGTCATCCCTGTGCTGTCCGCAGTCTCTGGTCATCCCTGTGCTGTCCGCAGTCTCTGGTCATCCCTGTGCTGTCCGCAGTCTCTGGTCATCCCTGTGCTGTCCGCAGTCTCTGGTCATCCCTGTGCTGTCCGCAGTCTCTGGTCATCCCTGTGCTGTCCGCAGTCTCTGGTCATCCCTGTGCTGTCCGCAGTCTCTGGTCATCCCTGTGCTGTCCGCAGTCTCTGGTCATCCCTGTGCTGTCCGCAGTCTCTGGTCATCCCTGTGCTGTCCGCAGTCTCTGGTCATCCCTGTGCTGTCCGCAGTCTCTGGTCATCCCTGTGCTGTCCGCAGTCTCTGGTCATCCCTGTGCTGTCCGCAGTCTCTGGTCATCCCTGTGCTGTCCGCAGTCTCTGGTCATCCCTGTGCTGTCCGCAGTCTCTGGTCATCCCTGTGCTGTCCGCAGTCTCTGGTCATCCCTGTGCTGTCCGCAGTCTCTGGTCATCCCTGTGCTGTCCGCAGTCTCTGGTCATCCCTGTGCTGTCCGCAGTCTCTGGTCATCCCTGTGCTGTCCGCAGTCTCTGGTCATCCCTGTGCTGTCCGCAGTCTCTGGTCATCCCTGTGCTGTCCGCAGTCTCTGGTCATCCCTGTGCTGTCCGCAGTCTCTGGTCATCCCTGTGCTGTCCGCAGTCTCTGGTCATCCCTGTGCTGTCCGCAGTCTCTGGTCATCCCTGTGCTGTCCGCAGTCTCTGGTCATCCCTGTGCTGTCCGCAGTCTCTGGTCATCCCTGTGCTGTCCGCAGTCTCTGGTCATCCCTGTGCTGTCCGCAGTCTCTGGTCATCCCTGTGCTGTCCGCAGTCTCTGGTCATCCCTGTGCTGTCCGCAGTCTCTGGTCATCCCTGTGCTGTCCGCAGTCTCTGGTCATCCCTGTGCTGTCCGCAGTCTCTGGTCATCCCTGTGCTGTCCGCAGTCTCTGGTCATCCCTGTGCTGTCCGCAGTCTCTGGTCATCCCTGTGCTGTCCGCAGTCTCTGGTCATCCCTGTGCTGTGTCTGCAGTCTCTGGTCATCCCCTGTGCTGTGTCTGCAGTCTCTGGTCATCCCCTGTGCTGTGTCTGCAGTCTCTGGTCATCCCCTGTGCTGTGTCTGCAGTCTCTGGTCATCCCCTGTACTGTGTCTGCAGTCTCTGGTCATCCCCTGTACTGTGTCTGCAGTCTCTGGTCATCTCCTGTACTGTGTCTGCAGTCTCTGGTCATCTCCTGTACTGTGTCTGCAGTCTCTGGTCATCTCCTGTACTGTGTCTGCAGTCTCTGGTCATCTCCTGTACTGTGTCTGCAGTCTCTGGTCATCTCCTGTACTGTGTCTGCAGTCTCTGGTCATCTCCTGTACTGTGTCTGCAGTCTCTGGTCATCTCCTGTACTGTGTCTGCAGTCTCTGGTCATCTCCTGTACTGTGTCTGCAGTCTCTGGTCATCTCCTGTACTGTGTCTGCAGTCTCTGGTCATCTCCTGTACTGTGTCTGCAGTCTGTGGTCATCTCCTGTACTGTGTCTGCAGTCTCTGGTCATCCCCTGTACTGTGTCCGCAGTCTGTGGTCATCCCCTGTACTGTGTCCGCAGTCTGTGGTCATCCCCTGTACTGTGTCCGCAGTCTGTGGTCATCCCCTGTACTGTGTCCGCAGTCTGTGGTCATCCCCTGTACTGTGTCCGCAGTCTGTGGTCATCCCCTGTACTGTGTCCGCAGTCTGTGGTCATCCCCTGTACTGTGTCCGCAGTCTGTGGTCATCCCCTGTACTGTGTCCGCAGTCTGTGGTCATCCCCTGTACTGTGTCCGCAGTCTGTGGTCATCCCCTGTACTGTGTCCGCAGTCTGTGGTCATCCCCTGTACTGTGTCCGCAGTCTGTGGTCATCCCCTGTACTGTGTCCGCAGTCTGTGGTCATCCCCTGTACTGTGTCCGCAGTCTGTGGTCATCCCCTGTACTGTGTCCGCAGTCTGTGGTCATCCCCTGTACTGTGTCCGCAGTCTCTGGTCATCCCCTGTACTGTGTCCGCAGTCTCTGGTCATCCCCTGTACTGTGTCCGCAGTCTCTGGTCATCCCCTGTACTGTGTCCGCAGTCTCTGGTCATCCCTGTACTGTTAATTAGTTTGCACTACTGTATGAGTTGTTTTTTCTAAACCAAAAGCTCGATATTCAGGTTTCATTGCAGTGTTGGCACTTTGAAAGAAATAAGTTGGTTTTGGGTTGCAGTTTGGGCACTCGGGCTCAAAAAGGTTCGCCATCACTGACCTAGGTGGTCGGAGCAGAAGTGGTACACAATCCCCATAGATGTTAATTTATTCACAAGGAAGCAGGAAACTAGTGCTTAACCTCCCTGGCCGTATTCCCGAGTGTAGCTCGGGGTTAATTTTCAGTATCAGAAGCAGTAACCCCGAGCTACACTCGGGAATACCCTGCAGCGTTGCTCAGGGATTCCCTCCAGCACTTGTCCTGCACTCCCGCGATGTCCCCCCTGCAGCATCTCCGGCCATCTCCTCTGGCCGATTCCGGTATCCGTCTTCCGGGTTTCGTTCCCTATGAGCGTCGGGACAGAACCGACAGGAAATTCAAAAATGTAAAAAGTGACATTTACTCAATACACTAAAATCACATAGTAAAACATTACTGTATCAAACCATTTCACATACATTTTGTCCCTAGTGCTTTGTCCTGTCCCCTGTCTGCATGTTTACTGTTCTTTCTGCCTGGAAACTGAGAAAAGTCCATGGCGTCCAAAAAACGTCCCTTTAGGTCAAAATCGGTTTTAGACCAGCTAGAGAACAACGATAGTAAATCAGAACCACTTGCAGAATTGAGTGATAATGATTCGTGGGGAAATTCGTCATCAAACACTGAAAACGATTTTGCGACTGAGCTCAACGATGTGCGAACTTGGCGCTATATTTCAAATTTCAGTGTTTTTGGTTTGATTATATTATTGAATTAAATTTATTATTGTTATATTATTTTTTATGATTATTATAATTTATGTTTTCATGTTTCAAATTTTATCCTACCCGGTTTGTTTACTAGACTCTTGTTCGGACAGATTTCAGTGAGTTATTCCTAAAAATTACAGGCCTACAATAAAAAAACAACATATTTCCATGCAAAAAAAGTATCGCTTTGAGCACAGAAATACTGACATAATCAGACCGCTAGGGAGGTTAAAGGGGAACTTCTTTTTTAGTGAGAGCTCCACTTTAACTACTTCTTCAGTACTGGGCACTTTCACCCCTAAATTGGCTAGGCAAATTTTCAGATTTCAGCGTTATCACACAACAATTGACAATTGTGCAGTCATATGAAACTTTTTTTCAAGACCGAGCTTTCTTTTGGTGGTAATTAATCAACATGTGGGTTTTCATTTTGCTTAAAAAAAAAAAACAAAAAAAACTGAAAATCTGGGGGAAGAAAAACAACTTTGTGTGTTTCTGTTATAAAATTTAGCACAGAAGTAATTTTAGACTGATGTGTACTGATGAGATGAGCCGCAGTGATGGGGCTGTACTGATGATCAGTGTAAACAAAGTGCTAACAGCCTTGCCAAGTATCATCTGTCACTTCCTCACACACACACAGCATGTAAGGAAAAGACTGCTGATAATCGGCAAGTCTGTTTTATCATGTGATCAACAGTGTCCAATCACAGCTGATCACATGTAAAGGGGCACTGCGATTGGCCCTTTAACGCAATGTGTGAGCAGCTGGACACAGCAGTCACAGAGCGCGCCCATTGTGCTTCCCAGGCGCACTTCGGGAGGACATCGATAGACGCCCTCCCAGAACAAGAGAACTGCACTGTAACTGTCTTTCAGCTATTGCATGGTATTAACCCCTTTGCACTGGAGCCTCCCGGCCCTTTAAGGGTTTCAGGAGCCGGGAGGCGGGGTCTAGGGTCATGTGACCGCCGTGGCACGCTGTCATGGCGGTCACATGATCGGGAAAGGTCCCGATCGGAGGAGATCGGGACCTTTCCGTGAGTACCGGACATGTGTGCTGGGAGCGCGTAGGGCGCGCCCTCTCAGCACATATGTTCTTTTTTAATAGAACGCAAATGTGCGGCCACTCAGTGTCTAGGCCCAGACGCCGGGAAGCCGCACATTTGCGTTCGGCTGGCGTGAAGAGGTTAAAGTGGTTAAAGAATATGTAAACCCAACATTTCATATTCCTGCTATGTGCCTGCTATACCTTGAAAAACTATCCTGTTCTCTTTGTATTGCTTCCTTTGTGTGAAAACCCTAGTGATCCTGCCAGTCCCTCTGCTTTCCTGTTAAATCCAACCACACTAAGTTTGAGAGCACAGAGTGGTCAGTTTTCTGGCTGTGCTGGGAGCTAATCCAATGATCAGACTTGTCCTGACCCCCCCCCCCCCCCCCCCCCCCCCCCTTGCTGGGAAGATCAGTTTGCTCTCTCTCCTCCCCTAGCTCTTATGCAGCTAATAACAGAAGGAATGTGATCATTTATAAAAAAAAGGAGAAAAACGTGTTTGTTTTTTTTATATCTATACAAATAATTTCTATTTTAAACTGAATGGGTTGTTTTACAAGGTGAGGGTTTGCATATATTTGAAGTACCTTGGGGGGCTAGAGGAGTACTAAAGAAGTGCCTTCACTGACAAGATATCACACTGAGCGCTCAGTTCACAAAGCTTTAGGCTAGGTTCTCACTTGAGTGTTCCATGTTTGTATGCGTTTACTAAGTGTCGAGCATGTGGTGCTGTTCGTTGTTTATGGCACCCCAAATGCGTCATGGAAAATCTCAATGCAATGTGATTTGACTTGTGGCGTGCTGCTCAAGCGCCGGTAATAAGGCTCTGATGATTCCACATGCAGAGAGTGCAGTTAGAAGTGATCCCATGCACTTGAATGGTCCAAGGTGAACGCCACACACCAAATAGCTCTCAGTGCTTAGGAGAAAAAAAGTGGTCTCAGCTCTGGCTCCTTTGACATGTTTCGCCCCACCCCTGGGGCTTAGTCATAGAGCAGTAACTATTACTAAGTCCCAGGGGTGGGCTGAAACGTGTCTGGGGGCTTGACTTATTGGGAGGAGCTGGAACTGAGGCTGCTTTTCATCTTCTAAGCACTGAGACCTATTTGGTGTGCAGCCTAGAAGCAGAAGCCCAACATCAAAATAGATATATGAGCTACTTTGGAGCAACTTGTTGAAATAAGCATGAAAAAACACGCTATTACAAAATGTTAGTTATGAACCTCGCCTCAGGGCTCATGTAATCCCATGTTCAGTGTGCAGGCCGCATGTGCCTTTATGGCTTGTTTTGGCATGCGTTTTTAGTGGGGTAACCTGTTCGGATGGGCTGCCCATCCACAATACATTGTGGGTGGGCGGTCCAGAAGTACAGTAGTTAAAACACACATTTGATTGCATCTGATTTAAGGGCTTGTTTACACCATATTCCCCACGTTCAGTGCGCAGCTACACATGTGTGTGTAAGCTGGTGCAGTTAGCTAGTCTGCCACTATGTGGCTCTTTACCAGGAACTTGCCTGGTTACAGCAGTCAGTGTCATCAGGTGCTAGGTACTTTTTAGGTAGAGCCCTCCTGCAGTGAGGTCAGGGGCGAGTCAGCACCCTTATACAAGTCAGGTAGGGAGGAACACACACTCTTGGGGCATGGGAGCTAAACATCCCAGATCTGTGAGAACATAGCCAGCACACATAGGTCCTGGACAGGGCAGGTAGCTGGGTGAAATGGACCTGTAGTCTCTGTCCCTTTATGAAGTTGGGGACTATGGTGGGTTGCAAAGGCCTTTTAGGCCACAGGGGTGTGGGCATTTTTGAAAAAAACTACTTGTCCAGGGACTATATCAGGGTCCCAATCTACTTGTCCCTAATGACGATCTACTTGTCCAGATAAAAAAAAAAAAAAAAATTTAAACCAAAGCCGTATTTAAATCCAAGGTGATTTTAGGATTAAGGATTTAGTGATTTAAAAACAAAAGGGGCTTTATGGCAACTTGTAGTAATTTTAACACTACGCTGTTTATCTCCTCCTCCCTACCTGTCTCCAGCACCGCACTTGGGGACTAGCAGGGAGGAGAGAGACCTTCCAGTGTAATGAGCACCGATTGGCTATTCCTCAGGAAAGGAGAGTGTCTGGCATATCCTTTATCCCTTTTGCTGCCAGAACTGTTTTTTTTTGTTTTTTTTTTTTTTTTTTTTTTTTTGCACTAGTTTAAAAAAATAATTTTAGGCTTAAAGATTACACAATCCCCCAAACATTATATATTTTCTGAAAGCAGAGACCCCAGAGAATAAAATAGTGGTAGTTTCAAATTTTTATGTTGCATGATATTACCACAAAATTTCAGTTAAATATACAAGTGAGTTCATTTTAGGGCACAAAAAAAAACAATAAATTAC